ACACCAGTTTACAAAAAGGAAGGCAAGAAGACACAAATGTGTGTATTAGAGTCACATGTTCCACATTAACGCATCTGTGGCAAAGTTTGGATCCAGGCGTCCGCCTCAGTGGAGGTGAAAGGGTTTAAAACAATGCATCAATCTCTGTTATGTCTCACCGTCCTGGTCCTGAGTTAGTACAGACAGGCAAACAGGGAAGTATTGCTATAAAGAACTAGTCCACACTGTGTTTGTATTGCTTTCCTCAGCACAGTGACTGATGAAAGACCAGAAGCCACAGGGAGGAAAAGCACTGGACTCGTGGATACTGTTCCCCCTAAACATCAACACACTAGTTAGACAAATGAAGCTTCAGCTGCCCTTTCCACTGCTCTGCTCTGGTCTCTAGAGGCTGTAGTTCACTAAACGTAGAAGTAAATCACAAAGTCCATCCATTTAACAGAATTTATCACCAAAATGTCTAAACCTGCATTGTTTGCGTCTGCGTGCTTAGGTCGTCCCGACATATGTATACACTGATTGATAGTGTATTTATATTTCCTTGATGTTAAATAATTTGAGGCCAAAACAAGATTTAATATTATTCTTGGGTTAATTTTATTTTAAACTTTGTTGTTATTCTCTTGACTGATCTTCTACATTGTATAAATAGAAAAAAAAAACGGTGACTCATCAAACAAAGGTCAAGTGTAAAGTTCCCCATAACCTACTGATCCCCATGCTTTTCTGTGCAGAATCTGTGCCACAAGCTTTTATGGAACTCCCTCTAGAGGCAATACAGTGAGATGCTACTGCTTTTTGGGGATTTTCTACCTCCCTGCTGAACTATCCCTCCCTGTCGCAAAAAAAAAAAAGAAAAAGATCGCATTTATCAAGAACGTTATGAGACCATTTTGCACCACTTGCCTCATTTAAGCAATCTCACAACGCTTCAAATGCATGAAATAACAGTTTTTGGCAGATACGTACTCAGCAGACCTAAGTACGACTGGAGAGACTTTAAAATGTCACTTCAGTGGGAGAAAAACTGTTTTGATTTGAATTTGACCAAAGAATGTCAGCCAAAGCAAAACATCTTCAAAAACATCGGCACTAATGTTTTATTATATTATTTAGGATGGGAAATACCTCCTTTATGAGATGTAGAAATTACCCAGGGATTCATTCACTGTCTATCAGTTTCTTCTGCTTATCAAACAGAAATTAATTTGCACAAAAGATTTAGCAAAACTCAAGTATACATCTGATTACATCTTTTAACAACTGAGTAATGATCATCCAAAGCTTCACAGCAAAACCAAATAGGAATCACAGAGAAGCAACAGCTCACATTACTAAATCCTCGCTGAAAAACAAGGTTTTCTCTCTCTCTCTCTCTCTCTCTCTCTCTCTCTGAACTCCAAAGTTTATTTAGAGGGCATACCCCAAGCTTCGGAGAGAGAGAGATCGACAGGGAGAGAGAGAGAGAGAGAGAGAGAGCTGAAGTCATCAGCGGGCTGAGGGAAGTGAATGGGTCCTGCACGCAAAGCAGAAAAGCGCTGAAACTGTGGAGATTTACTTTGGTTCAGTTGTAGCTCAGCGAGAAGGAGGAGGTGTGCGCTTGGTGGCTAGAGCAACGCGAGCTGTTTAACGTAAAAACTTAATTTGTCTTTTCTGTTGTTGGTCCTGTAGTGGCTTTTACGTCAGCTGATGGTCAGATGAAGCCGAGACCCTCGGCATATTAGCGCAGTCTGTACACCGGGACGCACGGCGCATCTCTTCTGAGAAAGACTTGGAGAGGGAGGGAAAGGTTCATTTGGAGTTCTACAAATGGATTTAATCCCTCAAACTTCACGAGAGTCACGATAATGCTTCATTAATCATTCTATTTTTTCTTTGCGACCTTCACTGATGTTTGATTCTACTTTTCTCCTCCTCGCAACGGATGAAAATCCATCTTTTTGGCGTGGTTGTTTGGTTTTTGTTTGGGTGTTTTTTGTTGGGGGGGATGTTCTTTATTACTACAAGGATAACGGATCCCTAACTCAGTCTGGCTTTCTTGGCACATATGTGGACCTTATCCAGGATGTTACAGTCTAAGCGGCCCTGGCATCATTGGGCCACTGTACATTACCATCACCACATATCACCACATTGCTGGGGGTCCCGCTGTGTCTAGGAATTACCTGCAATCCCGCCTCTGTCTTTGTCTGGGGACAGAAAACGGAATCTTATTAATAAGTGTTTTGGCGAACATTGACATCGGCTTTACGAGTCTCACCTCTGGGCTACTATGCAATTACAACTCTCCTTTGTTTTGATCATCTTGCACTGCATGGATTACATTGGTTGTCAGCAGCACAGCAGCTCCAGGCACCGGCAACATAAACGTGAGTAAAGTGCTGTTCCCCGCCACAAAGTCCTATTATTAGGCTTGTATATTATTTCTTCTTGTTATTAATTGATATTCACTTAATGTCAGCTTATGCTCAACAATATTTATTGACCGATTTCAGTCGAAGTTACCAAGATCTGCATCGTACATTCTGTTGCTATTAAAACAAATCTTCCCATATTTAGTCTTTGGTCAGATTTCTTAATCGGTGCCGTGTAATAAATTGGCAGATATGAAAGTTATCAAACAATCCTCCTGATGCGCTTTTAAAGTGATCACCAAATCAAAACATCATCAAATAAAAGTTCAGGTGACATTTAATTTTTCTGCATATGAAACAGGATTAAAAGCAATAATTAACAAATAAATAAATAGATAAAAACAAAATACTTAAAACAACAACAACAACACATTACCATCATCCATACTCCCAACTCTAATTTCTGCAATGGAGTTTAATGTTATGTATTTTTGCTTAATTTGGAAAACTGGTATTTCCGTTTTTGTTTTTTGTTTTTTAATTAAATGTATATATTTTGCCCATGGGTAGACTGGGTGAGCGGCTCAAGCTCTCTATTAAAACCCCGTTTCCTTAATTGGATTCATTCACCTGAAGGCTGCAGCAGCCTCCCTGTGCGCTCGGTCTCATGGTTCCCGTCGCTCTCTAGCGGTCAGCGGAGCAGACTTCATGCGCGGAGTTTGTTGTTTGTTTGGTTTCAGGGTTGGTGAATAATAAAGCTTTAGCTCATATACTTAGTGAGATTTACGTGAATTTGCTGCCTTATACTATAAAGTATTAAAAAACATTTTTTGGAGATTTTTTTTAATCTGCTGGTGCACATCACGCAGGGTACATTCTGATGGATTCACGTTCTGGTGAATATGAATCCAAAATGTAACTCTTGTAATTGTGCAAAATGTTAGTCAATGCAAAACTGACTCCAGCAAACAGCAGAGAAGTTCCACACTGACTGTGAAGGTATTTCAGCTCTCATATATCTCTCTGGGGTCCAACAATATGTCTCCTCTCTTGGGCAATGAGCAGCTTTTTTCCATGACACTATGAAATAATTATCAATAAAGTATTTTTTCTGTTCTTCCTACGCACACTTTATCATTGAGGGTCTCCAGATGTGCTCTGTGACTAACTCTGTTTGAGATGAGCGGTGATAACTGGAATATTCCATGTATCGCTTGCAAGTATGGTCAAAACTGTCTGTGATCTACAACAATGGACCTTTGGAGTGATGTTTTCATCCCTGCCACCTGGGGCTAAAAGATCTCACTACACCTGTTTCTCTTTACATTAGATTGCAGAGCTCAGACCTGCACACATGACCAGATAGATGTCAAATCTATCGGGCATGTAATGAGTTGATTATTTTTCCCTTAAACGTGTGTTTGTACCACACAGACATCAGTGTTTGCTTTAGACCCCCCGCATATTTTCACTTTCTGTGTTTATTTCCCTCTAAACAATATTAAAGAGCCTCTCAGCAGAGTGTGAAAGAGATGAAAGGAGAACGTCAACAACTTCTGTGCAGCACAATACACTAAAATATGTTGTTTTACTCAAAGAGATTTAAAAAATTGTAATCTCAGCATATATTGACATACTGACCCAATGTTAATTGGTTTTTGTGTTAAGGAGTAGGTTAATCTTCTTTCTTACAGACTGACTCAGTAACCATCAGTTGATAGGCCCTTCTATGAATCCCAACTTCCTCTAAGAAAGCAGATATTAGGGAGGATGGAGGGATTAGTTGGTGAAAGGGTGAATGAGTACAGACATTAGAGGGAAAGCAGGGGGTAAGAGTGAGTGGGGGTGGGTCAATGACCATTCAGTTAGCAGGTCCAAATCACCACACAGAGACAGAACCCAAGCTGTGAGCTTCCTGTCTGTGATGATTCACCCAGAAACAAAGGGGGCGGGTTAGTAGTGGGAATTACATTAATATTAGTTATAGTTAATGAAGATGTTTCAGCTTCATGGAGGATGCTTTGATTTATGGCTAACAACAGAGTTTGTGCACAGTAAAGCCAGGGTGAATTGAGAGGCATGAAGGTAAGCATGTAACACACTAGATGAAATGAAATGGGGGGGGTTTTGCAAAAAAAAGAAAAAGAAAAACAAAACGTGTATGTGTGCAAATGTGTTTATTATATGTGTAACTCTTGCTGTTATGCAAGTTACCACTGTCCAACCAAGGTTTCGTTGGTGCAAAAGCAAGGGGAAGGCCAAATTCCTGTGTTTTAAGGCTTCTGTGAATCAGGGCAACTTGGCAGGAACACATGTGGGCAAATGGACAGCAGTTGTAAAGATAGTCAGGATATTTCAAACAAAGTATCCATGATCTATGGTAAACTGACAGCTAAACCCTGAGTTGAAAATGCTGGCCAATGAAAGCCAGTGGCGTGCAATGCCAAGACTGGGGAGGAAAACCAATTCCTGACGTTCTTGCAGGGGTTGCTTTTAATTTACCTGACATACGTGATTATGGCAACACCTCTCAAACAGGAGCAGCAGCGCAGCATAGGTGAATATAATAGTATATAAAACGTGGGAAATCTCTCAAAGACTCTTATTGCCTATATACTCACACAGGAGTCACTCCTTGTATGGATTAATATGTTTCTGTCACATAGCTGTCCATGAGAGGGTTTCTCAAAACCCTCCATTAACTTACACATGCCATTATTTAAAGAAGTGTGTTAACCAATGTCTTCATGGAGACAGCAACACTGTAGGTGCCTGGGACCTGGTGTGCATGTCAGGTTGTATTCAGTAAATCACCTCTGTGGTTGTCCACTTTATCGCTGTTCATTGTGCTCCAATTTAAATCAGACACCAAAGAGCAAATATTATACAAGACTGTTGTGTTTTTTCAAAGAAGTCATATTTCTACAATTTGTCACTATTAGCCTTTGTTATGATTCGTATACTTAAAATACTATCACACTGATGAAAACATGTTGGAATTTGAGAGACATTAAACATGCCGGTGACAAAGTTGCAACATACAGTTAAAATGATTAAAATCTACAACCTGTACTTTCATCCATGGAAGACAAAGTGTGGTGAATCATCTCAAACTGGTATATAGTTGGGGAGGACAACTCTACTCTTAAATATATATCAACATAAACTAAACACTTCAGTACTTATGCACATAAACAGAGTTGCAAATATGAAATAAATTGCTGTCATTGGCCCTGGGCTTTAAGTTAATGTGACATTAAGTGGTTTGTCTTGTGTAATGCAACCCTTGTAAATATATTTAATTCCTGGTGGAGCTAAATTTACCTTTGGCCTCACACTTAAAGATGTGGATTTTAACCTTTTCTCCATTTTCATTTCATTCCCTGTTTTACTACCATCACTGCAAGATTTTAAAGCTAACGTAGACAGGAACTTGAGAATGCAAAACTCAGATATCAAGTGCTTGTTGTGAGTTTTGCCTCTATTATAAAAAGATATAAAAGGTTCTGTAAGAAAAGCATTCCTCTTGTAGTTTTGAAAAGCACTGGTATTCTCTCTCTTTTTGCCTTTTTATACAGTACAATAAGGTGGAACATTGAAGGAATGAGTTATACATGCACTCAGAACTTTGAGCTGCGAGTGATGAAACAAAAGGTTGCCCTAAAATATCTGGAAAAATATGTCATATTTATTCATAAATATTCCTTTTTTTAATAAGAATCCTAATATTTTTGTGTGTGAGATCTATATCTAATGTGAAACCCATCCACCCGCTCCTCTCGACAGCGATCTCTGGTGTGAGCTCAGGGTGCCAGCAGGGTGGCTGTCTGACCTGCTCTGACTACAATGGCTGTCTCTCCTGCAAGCCGCGCTTCTTCATGCATTTGGAGAGGATTGGGATGAAGCAGATCGGGGTGTGCATGACTTCCTGTCCGCCAGGCTTTTATGGCACACGCTCTCCTGAAAGAAACACCTGTACAAGTGAGTCAAATAAACTGCAAATATAAAAATTTAAAAAGAGTTTTTATGGATATATTAACTGACTGCATGACTCCAATGAAAAAAGAACATCCAAATTTAAACGAGCACAAGCACTGAAATAATCAGGCTAAATATGGTGTCTTTAAAAGCGTAACTTGACTTTGTGTGTATCATTAAATCATATGCCCTGCCTAGTGAAGTGTAGTATGGCATGAAGTAGAGGCCTACATGTTCTTGAACAAGTGGAAAACATGAGACTGACCCTGTTAGCATGTTTCCTTTTGGTGACATTATATGAAATCAAGAGTTGCTTTGTTTAAAATCATTTATCATGATCCAGCCTGTAAACATTAATTTCCCCGCAGTGTCCCATATTGTTTTTCCAGCCTGACACACACACACACACACAGAGAGACACACACACACACACACACACACAGAGAGACACAGTGACACCCTGTATATTTAACGCGCAGGACACACACGATAACTTGTATGGTTTAAATAAACGCTGGCGGTGGGTCTGTGTTTCTCTGTCAGAGTGCAGGTCGGAGTGCGACTCCTGCTTCAACAAGAACTTCTGCACGCACTGCCGAGCAGGATTCTACCTTCACCTGGGCAAGTGCCAGGAGAACTGCCCCGAGGGCTTGGTCCGCAGCGACGCACAGAGGGAGTGTATTCTCAGTGAGTACTCAGAGTTTACATTAATCAGGCATGGGGATTTTTTTTAAAGTTTGCCTTTTATTTCATTTATTTGGGTTGCAGGACTAGTTTATATAGAACTACATTAAACATATTACATGCCAGATTACATTTTGTCTGTGCAGAGTGTCCTGCAGACTGTGAGTCATGTGTGAGCAGCGACATGTGTAAGCAGTGCCGGCCGGGCCTATACCAGCTCAGTGGGATGTGTCACCATGTCTGTCCAGAGGACTATGAGCCCAATGACAAACTCATGGAGTGCATACCGCAAGGTCAGTCCAGTGTGAGTGTGGATATGTTAAAGAAAAATGTCTGGTAAATACCCATTTTGAAAAAGCGAGTAACCCCATGTCAAAATTTTACAAAATATTTATTATCCTTATATTTCCCCTTCTGCCAATTTCCTCCTGTCAGTGCACTGTGAGGTGGGTGAATGGAGCGAGTGGAGCCCCTGCTCGAAATCTGGTAGAACCTGTGGCTTCAAGCGGGGCCAGGAGACCCGCACAAGGCAGGTCATGCAGTACCCGTCGTCCTTTGGCAAACCCTGCCCTGAGGTCTCTGAGATCAGAGAGTGCATGGTCAGGAGGAGGAAATGTCCAGGTAAAGAAAACAAAAAAAAAAAACATAATTTCTGAGAAGATGCTGTGACAGAGTAGCACTGCTTATGTGCCCAACTTAAATCCCACGTGATGCGACATAAAAACACACAACCCTCCCCCCCCAGAAGGAATTATCAAAGAAGATGCTTACTATATATTACACTGTCTTTGGTAATCGCTGCTGACCCATCGCACTTACTGCCAACATTGTATTTGAGCTACATGGCACGGTTTCAATTCTCTATGAATTCCAGACCACACTGCTTAAGCTTGAACAACCAGAGCTAGCCGTTCTTCCGCTCAGGACTACGACTGTTTACTCAGAGGACTGTCATTGTGGCTAGAGTGAGGACAGTGGGGAGAACACATGTGTGATGTTGCAATGGCTATGCTGCGTGTTTTCCCACGAGAGCTCTTTGGATTTGAAACAGTAAAACTGCTTTCTGTGCTCCTAGTAAACAGGGGATAGCGTGATTATTTCTAATGAATAGAGTGCAAACTGCTTTCAGACGGGCTCGTCCCCCTTAAACCCGAAGCTGTAGTGCATTTACAATCATCTTGTGTTGTGCGTACTGAGCGTGTGTGGTTGCTGAGGTGGTTGGTGGCTACGGCTGGTTGTTTTTTCGCCTGGGCTCTGTAGTGTTAAATGACAGATTGCAGACAGGGTAGGAGGCTGAGATCCAGCCCCCTGGGGCCTCACACTTACAGAACAAACACTGTGTGTGTGTGTGTGTGTGTGTGTGTGTGTGTGTGTGTGTGTGTGTGTGTGTGTGTGTGTGTGTGTGTGTGTGTGTGATGCAGCAAAAAAGCAGTTGACTCTGGAGCAGAAACAGCCAGCTCAACATCAACATCCTCCCCCTGGGAGGCACGCGGCGACCAGGGGATCAGTATTGGTTTATCCCCACAGCTGCCAATACACACACACACACACACACATGCAATAACTCTCTCCCACACACACGTATGCAAACCAACACAGGCACAAACAATTCCAGATATAGATATGCCATTCTCCATTTCAAGCAAGAGCAATAGATGCACATACTCACATTTCCATGCAGGCACACACACACACACACACACACACACACACACACACACACACATACCAGCATTGTCTCACTGAAATAACTACACAGCCATTACTCAGAGTGGTAATTTGTGAAGAGAGTATACTGAGTTGGCGTGATTTGTAAGGCAGACTGTGAAATGTGCCCTCTGTCTCTCTCTCACACATTTCCTATCTGTATCTTTTCACTGATCTATCCCCTCATCATCATCCCCAACACACACACACACACACTCCCCAACAAACCAAAGAAAACATAGACCCCCATATAAGCTCCCAGCTAGCGCACCCAGTCATTTGGGGTCGGTGCCGAGAGTCTAGCGTAGAGTCGACGGATCTGTTGATGTAGCCAGAGACTGACGAAAGGGGTACAGAGACACAGAGAGACAGAGAGAACGAAAAAGAAAGAAAGATCTGTGCACAGACACAGTACAGACCCTTCTTATCGACTTTGCTCCTTTGTGGGATAACCCAGTCACCCCAGCTCCAAGAGAAACCCTGGTGCGTGGGAGCTAATTATCTGCCTCGGTGTATCCTTTACCCGCTGTTTACGTTCTGCACACGCTAGAGGGTCAGTGGTCTGACTTCAGAGAGCCTCCAGTAATCCTCCAACAGCTCTCTGACACTGATACATCCTTCCTCTTGTCCTCATCCTTTTCTCCTCTTTTGCACTTTCTCCTTTTGCCCCTCCGCCCCCTTCTATCCTCTTCTGTTCCTGCTTCTCTCAGTACATTGTTTTACTCTTCCACATTAGAACACTAAGTCCTTCACTCATTTCATCCAATCTGGCCTGACCCTGTTGTGTTTTTTTCTTTACCGTTGCTCTTCTTTCTCCTTATTCTTCTTGCTTTTATTTTCACTCATCTGTACCGCAAACCTAAACTCTTGTGATACTTTGTGTCCAAATTTCTGTGTATTAAATCTAGGAAATATGCGACAGAACCTTTAATCAGTTCATAAAAGGCTACGGGCATGCATAATCAGTAAATGTTGACATGTTGGCAAGATCATTTTCCTTCTTCTTTTTTTTTGTTTAAACCAGTTAAAAGGTAGGGGCTGTGCTGTACTTTGCAGGGTAAGTGTTCATAATTTTGCATGTAATCTTCAGATGAAGTTGCGCGACTCATCCTAGGAAACTGTCAAAAATAACCCTTTCTCACATGTAGCACATGGCAGGAGGTAGTATGTAAACACTCAGGTGTACTAGATCAAGATTGGGCAGGTTAAAGACTGCTTACTGTCCCATCTAACTGTGCTGACATTTGCATTCTCACGTGCCCCCAGGAATGGACTGGTAATGTGGCACCTGTGGTCCTATTACCTGTGCATATAAATGGATGACAAAATTGTCCTTTAAGCAGCTACTTTTTACTTTCTTTCTTTGAGTACATTTCAGAGACTTTACTTTTTCACTTTTACTTGAGTAGAGAAGTTGAAGAAAGTACTTCAACTGGAGTAGTTTTTAATACAAGTATCTACACTTCTACTTAAGTACAGAATGTCTGTACTTTTGCCACTCGTGCAAGCAACAAGGATTCAGGTAACATGAATGGCTACCTTGACCACGAGTGACTTTTTTAGCCTAAGTATATCTTTGAATTGTCACATGCTGCAGTGCAACAAAGAACTAACCCAACGACAACTTTAGCAACTTGATTAAAACCTGTTTCAATATAAATAATCAAATAAATTTAAATATATACAAAATATGTGTATGCATGATAGATTGTATGTGTCCAATCACAGCACAGTTCATATGCATTGTTTCAAAATGACTGATATTAGGGGAAAAAAGCTTTTGTTCTCCAAAGGTGTCGGCTATTGTAGCTCCTACATCCGCAAAGCTACAGAACGATTTCAAAATCCCAAATGCCACCTGGGTCCGATTAAGCACTGTTTTTAAATTAGTGATATAAAATCGGAAGAGGTGTAAAACTGTGGGGAAGCAGACATGCTAAGTCTCAGAGCTAAATTATTGATGTTGACATACACAACCTCATTTGCTGCCTTCTCTCTCAATAGTTGTAATGTCTGATTTGTCCTTCAATTAGCCTGCAGTTCACCTCACTATCGCTGTAGCTGGATGGACCTTAGCCCCCCTTCTACTCCAGCATATACACCCTCAGTGACACTCATGCATATTAGAGACAGTTGAGCCAACTAACAGCAAGCAGTCAGCCAGGGCGGAGGTTTACACACACCCACAGCCCCCCATGACATTCTGCCAACCATGCAGCCAACATTCCACTTGTGGGACAGCCCATAGCCTATAATCCCCGCCTGGCTCTCGCCAAAATCTCCCCGGACGACAGAACGCCTGCCACAGGGGATGTGCCACCATAAAACCTACAGTGCCCCCACTAAACATTCACATACATAGACACAAACCTCCCCTTACCCTCACTGCCCCTTTACTTTCTCATTTGATCTCTGTCTGTCTGCTGTTCTCACCACAGTTATAAAGTCATCTAATACGGTCTGTGATTTTTATTCCTCCTTCACCACTCTATACTTCTGTTAGTTTTTTTATTTTGATATTTTTAGTGTAGCATGCTTGCTCCCTTATTGCTCCAGCATACACACACACACGCACACACACACACACACACACACACACACCACACACACAGAGAGTATTGTGTATGCAGTCAGTATAGTAAAGCCCTCTTGAATCCTGTCCTTTGTGACAATGTTGTAACAGATTTCTTGCAGTTATATCATAGCCAGTTCAGCAGATCTACACTAACTTATAATGTACAGGCAGGCATTTCAAAGGGAATAACATGGCCTGATAACAGAGGTGTCTCCAGAGGGGCGCATAGGATTGCACAGCCCTCCCCTAAAATATGATTGCCTCAGTGCCCAGCTTCCCCTAAGCTATAACCTATATATCCCATGTTACTGGACTAGAGCAGCATTAATCGTAGAGCCTTAAAAAGCTCTTGTAAATGCCAACTCACATATTTTTTGCATATATTCCAGATGATCCTTAATGATAGATTACAGGAAACTTACAACAAAAGACAAATGTTTGTCATCTGTGGCGTCTTATGTTGAATTTGAGAGTAGTTACTCTCAAATTTATACTGGATCCAGATTTGCCAGAAATGTCATATGTCATATAATCATAAATGTTTCCATTGCTTCCCAGCTGTGGCAGTTACCACAACTGGCTCAGCCTTAAAGAGTAGCTACTACTAATGGTTTAACACTATGTCAAAATGTATATGACTGTCAAGCATGCCAGCTATGTGCTGAGATGCCAGGACACTGCTCGCTTAGTGCAAAAACTTGCTAACTTGATCATCTAGCGCAGGGATGTCAGACTAATTTTTTATCACCACTTTGATCTTTAGTGGGCTGGATCAAAGGAAACTCATTTCTGTCAGCATAAAGATACTTAACTAATCATTCGGACTGTCTATATTATAAAACACCTATTTTTCTTTTATTTTTTTGTGGTTAATTTACAGAAAATCTTTTCTTATCTACCTTGGCACAGTTTGAATGGCAATGGGGGAGGTCTTTATCAATAGGAAAAGCTGTAAAATGTATTAAAATACAGCTAAAAGTTCAAAACCTATGTACTCCTTAGAGCCTTTCAGTGGGGCAGATTGGAGTCTTTGCTGAACCAATTCTGGCCCCTAGGACTTGACATAAGGTTTAAAAATCTGCCGGTCAGTGCCTCTGAACCTCACCAAATAATGCATGCAACCAATTTAAATCCTGAAACAAACAGAAAAAAAATAATTACATATTACGTCCCGTTTATTTCCAAAAAAAGTAGCAACCTTTGCATTGTTCAGAAATTACAGTTTCCGATCGCTTCCAGTCTTTGTGCAAAGAAAAGCTAAATTCACGGTGGTTTAGAAAGCTGATGGTCCATGTGCTCAAGTTCCACATTATGACGCTACTGGAAGTGTTTCATGTGTTTTCCCCACAGCCAAAAAATCCTTCACTGAAAGTCTTTTAAGACTCTGTGATATTTTTCATCAAAACTTGACTTTTGGGAATGTGCTAAATGTCGGTTGAAAATGTTCCAAAACCTCTTAAGGTGTCCCATTTGTGGACCATTATACACATGTCAACACACAGTTTACAAAAGGCCCATCAGAAACTGTTCCAACTAACCAAACGCAGGTTGGTTTGATAAACACTCTCGTAATCATCTCAACACTGGCATGGATTAGGTTTCTCTTCTGGCTCGACAAAAGCACAGGGGCTACAGTATGACTAATCCACTGAACTTGTAAATAGTTATGGTGTCAGGGCAGAGAAAACAATGAGAGCAAAGGGGACTTCCTGTGTTTACAGAGGACAGGGGGCATACCCCGAATGAGTCAGTGAGTCAGATTACTACATCCGTCCATCCTTCCAACCATCCATCACTAAAATCACCTGTCTTCGCAATAATTTATTCTTTTTTTTTACTTACTTTTTGCTCACTGTGGTGTCTGTCTCCTGTCCTCTTGTTCTTTCATTATTTCTAGAAGGTTAAACACAGCTGGCAGAGAGAGCTTCATATCACAAGCTCAAAATGTGTGGGTCAGACTTGATCCCTTTGTCCAAGCAGACACCTGCCTTGATTAATGAACGGAGTGGGAGCATAGGAAGGCTGGGGGGTGAACGTGAAGCGGGCAGGAGAGAGACAGGGATCTCGTTTTCTCTCCCACTTTATCTCTCTTTCCCCTCTCCCTGTGTCTCTGCCTACTGCCGACTTCAGCAGTTTCACAATCCCCGACCGGCCAGCCAACAGCCGAGCAGGCCGTGCTGCTCCGTTCCACTCACACATGAGCGGCAGCAGTACAACAACAGGAAAGGGCCTCCTCTGCTTTCACTTGCAGGTCCTGTCTCCAAAACTCCCTGCGGCTGGATCTTGTTATTATCATTATTAACTATGGCTCGAGCAGAGATAAACCTTCAACATTCCAAAATTCTCTGTTTTGTTTATGAGATGGTGTTGCAAGAACAGATAAATTGGGGGTTTATTTAAAGGCTTTCTATTTTGGACAAAGGTCTACTCATCACACACGGAGAGGGCTGCAACAGCTGATAGACCCGACAGCGTAGCTGCTTCCGCTGATTAAACACTGACATCTAGTGAGAACCTTAGCATGTTGCACTGTAAATGAAAGTTGTGCACAACGCTTTACTTTCAAGTGCATACTTTCTAGAATTGGCATTTCTTACTTCACAGAGGTTTACCAGCTGGACAATCTTTTGAAATATTATTGACATCTTACTATATTTACTGCAGTTTTTAACAATATTTTTATTCCAAATTCCTTTGTGAAAATACTTGTGCAGTCATTTCTACTGACACCTCCCACAATCCACTGACGTTAATTTTTTTGATCTTCTTAATTTTCAGGACGGAAGAAGAATGAGCGGAGAGAAGGAAGGAATCGCAACAACCGGAAAGATAAGGAGAATCAGGAGGGGAGGCGGGAGAGGAAGAGAGAAAGGGAACGAGAGAAGGAGAGAGACACGGGTGAACGTGAAGATTCTGTTAACAGGAACAAAACAGAGCACAGGCACCGCAGAGGCCACGAGACAGAGCTAGTCTCACCTGTAGACGGCCCCATCCAGTAGTGCTCGGGGGAGATAACATCCAATGCCTCACCACCTTACTTCTGTCATCTTCCCATCCTTCGCGCTCCAAAACTTCCCCGCCCTCACCTCTGTTTGCCCCACTCACAACCTCTCTCTGCAGGGGTGTTGCTGCTACCTGTATGATTTGAATATACTGTTTATGCACAAGCAGGACGGGGCACATTCAGCCAAAAGGCTGGAGCCGCTATTGTTTTCAGCTCCTCTTCAACCGCTGAGAGCGTCTCTTATGAAAAGTCCAGGACACACTGCTGAGACTGCTGTTGGGACTGCAGAACACTGAGAATTGTCTGTGACAGTGTGGAGGACTGTCAGAGAAATGTAATGAGAGACAAAGACATTACACGTTTGTTGAAATGGTTATTTAATAGGGCTCTGGTACAACATTGTGCATCTTGGATTTTGAATGTAGATTTTCCAGCATTATGTAGAAGAATTGTCATTATTGTTGTTCTTGTTCTTTAGATCTCTTTATTTGGTGCAGATTTTGTAAAGAAAAAAATAAAAATAAAAAGTGAGGTTTTTTTTTTTTTGCTCTTTCCATCTCGTGACATCTTCATAATCACTACAGCTGAGGGCGACCTACCTTGTAGGCAACTGCATCTTTGCAAGATCATTAGAATATTCACTGTAAGCAAACTATCTGGTGTGTCCAGCTAAAGGGGAACCCGCTTGGTATGAATAAAAGGATTATGGTCATAAAGTTTCAAGTGTATGCATGTCTGGTGGAAATTTTAATTTTATCCAGATAAGTGATAAATCTAATCTACCACTGGTTTTTCTTGTGTAAATAGAAGCTCTCAATACAGCTCCGACTAGAAACCAAAACACTTGTATGTCAAATAAAACTATAATGGGTTTGTACCTGTGACTGCTTTAATCTCTCTTTTTTGCCCCTTCACCTTCATCTTGTGCAATCCAAACAAGTATTAGCTGATCTCAAATAGGAAGTGAAACTCAGTACACAGATGCCACGCTCTCCATTTGGCTTAGATCTGATTGCAGTAGTAAGAAGATATGGCCTTAAAAGCTTACTTTAAAAAAAAAAAAAGATACTGGGAGCCCATCTTTCTGTAGCTGAAGCTACTCTGGCAAAATATACTTGAATTTATTCAAGTGCGTTATTAAATTTGTGTGCATTTTTGAATAATCCATAACCCAATTTGGTCAGTTTAAACAAGTAAGCGAATATGAGATATGAAATGTAGGATAGTCACATCTGGGTGTACCCTTTCAAGCCATTTTGTGCAAAAATAAATAAAGAAACATTTTAAAGCTAAACTGTTTATTGGTGGAGTGATTATTTTTGCTCAACAGCAGCATCTACTGCATTTTGCATCAGGCATGACAGTATTTCCTCCTCATTCATTTAGCAGAGAAGTCTCCACTAATGTGGGGTTGCACATGAAAATATATGAAATTCTGATTTAAATGTACTTTTGCAAAATATAGACAACATTACAATATGTACACAAATCTTAAGTGCAAGATAAAGCAATGTTTGAGAAGAGAACATCAATTATACATGACAAATAAAACCAAGTTCAAAAGGATGATATCTGAATCAAGATGAGTCTAAATCAAAAACGACAGAGGAGACACTGACAGATGGAAATTTAGCCAGATGCCTTTAAATAGACTGAACAAATTCTCAATCACAGCTGTTTTTTAAGGGGGTCAACTGTTCACTTCAGGTTGGCGACAAAATCCTCGCCCTTCTTGATAGAGGCCTTCAGCTCACCGATTGCGTCAGCAACCAGCTTCTCCTCAAAGGCGGACAACTTGCCGAGGCCAAGGTTCTTCTCGATGCCGTTCTTCCCGAGAAGGATAGGTGTGGAGAAGTACTTGCACTCTGTCTCCTCAGACCTGACAAAGGAACACTCCACCACTCCCTCTTTTCCATTCATGGCGTCCAGGACGGAGAAGGTGAAGCGGGCGCCAGCATAGGCCATCGAGAGGGTTGCAGATCCAGCTCCAGCCTTGGCCTTGACCACCTCTGTGCCGGCCTCCTGGATCCTTTCAGTCAGGGCGGAGAGCTGGTCAGCAGGGAACTCGACTTTAGGTGTGCACTGGGAAATGAGGGGAATGATGGTCTTCCCAGCATGGCCTCCAATCACCGGCACATTAACACGAGCAGGATCCAGGCCCTTGAGCTCTGCAACAAAAGTGTTAGCTCTTACAATGTCCAAGGTTGTGACACCAAACACTTTGTTTGGGTTGTACACTCCATGCTTCTTCATGATCTCTGATGTAATCGGGATGGTGGAGTTGACGGGATTGGCGATAATGCAGATCAGAGCCTCAGGGCAAGTGCGGGCGCAGGCATCGGCCAAGGTGGCCACAATGGTGGCGTTGGTGTTGAAAAGGTCATCGCGGGTCATGCCTGGTTTTCTGGGCACGCCGGCTGGAATTACCACAACTTCGCAACCCTGCAGCGCAGCGTCGAGCTGGTCGGGGCCTATGTGGCCGGTCACCTTGGCCCTCGTCTCGATGTGGCTGAGGTCTGCAGCCACTCCGGGTGTATGAGCGATATCATACAGGGAGAGGTGGCTCACCAGCGGGCTATTCTTGAGTAGCAGCGATAGCGGCTGGCCTATGCCGCCCGAAGCCCCGAGCACCGCCACCTTGGCGTTGTTCTGTGACGAGGTGGCCAAGCCCCGCACGAGGCTAACGGTAGGTCTCACAGCACGGGAAAACATCTTCTTGAATGTTGATTCGGCAACTGAAATGAGTGAAAATTGAAATGCCTTCGGAGCCCCTCTCTCCCGTGACACCAACGTCCTCTAGCCACGAGCAAACCGGAAGACTACCGAGTTGTCATGCGTCGAAGATAATGGTCGCGCGATTTTACGTCTGATTTGCGTCAGTTCGTACGGCTGCGTCGTCGTCTTTGTCTCAGCTTCTTTTTCGTAGGAAAACAAAGCCAGTGAACAGCAGAAGTGGGCAAATTAGAATTGGACATTAGTACCATCAAAAGAATTGTAACGAAAACCAGCTCAACACAGCGGTACGGTACGTGTACGGTCGTTGCGGTGTTTGTGTCGTGAGAAAAACACGTCTTCTGACTCTTTATGTCGCCCCTGCTAAAATAAGCTAGCGCCATCAAATGAACGCCGTCTATTTGCTGGAGTCACAATGCTGCCGTCAGATTAGCCAGGGCTAGCTAACTACAACAGGTTTCATTGTTATGGAAGCTTTGTCAGTCGAGAAAAGCCTCTGTGTCGTTATTGTTCGACTCGTTTTACAAGTGAAACGGTACTGTTTGACCAGCTGCTGGGTAATCAGCCAGACAAGTTTTTATATATACTATTAATAGTTATTGTGAGTATTATAACCATCACATCGTTAGCTGTTAAATTTAATTAAATAATGTGCTTGTAACTAGCCCTGCTTTAACGATAGAAGGTTTAAGTCACAAAGCACAGTTCACTGATTGTTGTGAGGTAACTGAGCAGCCTTTTGTATCACACACAGTAACCTCTGAGGTTTCACTTATAACTAGTGAATTAATCCCAACCTGTAAGTAACGCCAGAGCTGAAGGGTTTGATTGGGAGGAAATGTGTGCATATAAGAAATGGCTTGTTATTGTACCGAACAGTTGTATGTATTTTAAGATGAAACACATTTTCGCTCACTTCTCTTTTCGTTTTGACAGTGGCAAGTTTCAAGGTCGAACAGCTCTCCTGATGATACATCAGCACTAAGCTCATTCCAGTAAGTCCAAAATGGATAGTGTATTTGAATTTTGTGATGGTACCAGTGTACCTTTAGACAACATAAAAAGCTGGTTTTATTTAGCCTTTTATTTGTTTGCTAATTTGTGACAGTAAACGTTATGTTAAGTGTAGTCATGACAGCAATAAAACTAAAAAAAATCAGCTGCATAGTGTCCATTTCATTGAAGGATATATTCATTTACCTACACATGATAGCCACAGAATAATATCTCCAGTAATATTAATAATTTTACACAATATACATCTGTTTTGAAATTAACACTACTGATAAACAAATGGGTAGAACACATTCGTTGTAACATTTTCCTTTATGATATTTCTTGTCTTTTTTTTCCAGTACTTCCTCATGATGGCTAGTTGTGGAGAGGTAGACCACTCTGTTAGCTCACTCCCATCCAGCAAGAAAGGCAGCAACAGTGGTGGTGGAAGTGGGAACAGTGCAGAATCATCATGCTCTGGCTCCAGCAACTCATCCCCAGCCCTATCAGTTCCTGAGTGTGCCATCTGTCTGCAGAGCTGCGTCCACCCAGTCCAACTGCCATGCCATCACGTCTTCTGTTTCCTGTGTGTAAAAGGAGCATCTTGGCAGAGCAAACGATGCGCTCTCTGCAGACAAGAAGTACCTGATGACTTCCTGGAAAGGCCTACACTTCTCTCTCCAGAGGAGCTGAAAGCATCAGCAGGAGGACGAGGTGGGGCAGCGAGTGATCACGCTTGGTATTATGAGGGGCGTAATGGTTGGTGGCAGTATGATGAGCGAACCAGCCGTGAGCTGGAGGACGCTTTCTCCAAGGGTAAGAAGACAGCCGAAATGCTCATTGCTGGTTTTTTGTATGTAGCTGACCTGGAGAACATGGTGCAGTATAGGCGCAATGAGCACGGTCGCAGACGTAAGATGAAAAGAGACGTTTTAGACATTCCCAAGAAGGGAGTGGCAGGACTGCGATTGGACACTGAGGGTGTTAGTGGGGCCGTGGGGGCTACAAGTAGAGAGAACTCTGCTGATGGGGCTGATACCACACTAACAAATATACAGCAACAGGTTACAGGTATCTCTTCTACTGTATCAGCCCCTTCAGCTCCTGCCAGACCTCCCACTTCCCTCGGTGGTCAGCCAGGCCCCAGTACTAGCCCCCCTCTGGAGGATGCTCTCTCCCAGCTGCAAATCAGCCCCAGGCCCACACCTTCTCATGAGCGGTCTGAGGCTGGGGAAGGAGAGGAAGATGAGGAGGAGGAGGCCTCACCTTCCAGGTCCTCTGACCCTCACACCTCTGTAGATGAGTCTGGCTCTGGAGATTGGAGTGATGATGAGGACGAGGAGGATGAAGAAGAGAACGGGGGAGATGGAGAGCGTGTGGAGCCGTGGGAGGGTAGGCCAAGGAGACAAAGACTGAATCCAGAGAACAGAGCCCCTCCTCATTCAGAGTCTGCCTCCCTGTCTCCCTCATCCAGTAGCAGTGGAAGGTCCAGAATGCCTGATGGCCAGTGTACAGTGACTGAAGTGTGAAGCGATCATTAATATATTATCACCAAATGGCTGTGTTCCTCATTAATTTGTTCCTCGCTTTATGCTGTCATTCACTTGGTCACAGATCAAATGGGGGTGGAATACTTTCTGCAGGAGAAATGATGCACTACGCATCCAGTAATAAACGGAACCACGTTTTCCTCTATTTGTGTGCCCCATTCTGGGATCACAATGATCTGGAGGTATCTGCGTGATTCTAACAGTCTCATCACAAAAATACAGAGTCAGCAGAAGTTTGTTTTCATGGTCTGGAACTGAGTGTTCTCATTCTGAGAGAGAGAAGGTACAGCTTGGTAAAGAGTCAGATGAATACACAGCGTTTTCTGTTCAGCACATCATTTGATGGAGGTGCAACAGACTTGGCTGTAGTCAGTCTGTGCACTACTGGCTGCAGGTGTATAAAGTTTGCTTTCTTCAAATTGCAGGCAAGTGGAAGTTAAAAGTGACTTCGGCCAAACCTACCTATTGTTTACATTTATTAGCTAACACCCAGAGGGGGGGCAGAGTGTTAGCCCCAGTCAGATTTGTGACTTCCAGTGAAAGAAGGCATAATGGGATTTTGGAACTCAGCCATTATGAACGGCTCGGCTGCATTCTGGTCATCTGCACTTAACTCTCTCAGCTAACATAGCACGCAGAAATGAGCTCATTAGAGTCATCTGCCTACTCGTGCAGAGAATTTAACCCTTAATACCTTATTCCTAGCCTCCACCTTACTTCAACAATCTCCTTCACATTTAACTAATTATGAAGCATTTTCTTAAAGTTTTAAATTCAACTGAACTTTTTCAAAGTGTGTTTCATTTCAGAGCTAATTGTGGTTTGAAAAGAAAGAATTTAGTTTGTTCATGATGAAGAACGTAAACATTTTCAACACGATGCTCTTAAGCTGTATGGGATTGTAAATTTGACACTTAATGATTAGCAACCTAGAATATCTGGAAACCTGAGGTTATCAAGCTATATGCCAAGATTTTGTGTTTGATTTCGCCTGCAGTTTTATGAAAACTAAGATGTTTTAATGAATGTGTAGAAGTTTTCCCAGCTTTGAAGAATTGGCATTTTACTGTGGAGTAGCAGCATTGTGCCTTTAAAGCTGCTGATGCCTCTGAAGCTTCCATGTTAGTGTCCCAGATTAAAGTATTCTCAATAAATGTGTATTCTAATCTGTGCGTGTTTGAAGAGAGAGTTACTTAAACACTACTGGTTGGCAGGATGTGGAGAATTGATGTTTTCAGTTTGAGTAAATGTTTTAATTTTGTGTTTGTGCATTTCTTATGGTTGTAAACCCTCTTATATATTATGTCTGGGGGAGTAAGAGAACAAATCTATACCATTGCTATTGGTCATCCTGCAGAAGTTTCAAGTTGCATTGGTTTTCTATTTCTTACATGCCTCAGTCATCGGCTCAGTTTTAAACTTTCCATTTGGAAGAATAAATCATTGTGTAACCTTTTTTTTTTGCTTAGTAACCTTTTTGTTTGTTTTATGGTTCGTAATTTAAGAATAAAGTGTCATTTCAACATCCACAAGTTATTTCTCTCTGTTTGGAGACTGCATTTTGTTGTTTTGGCGTCTCTGTGACAGTGCATAGTCTGGGAAAATATTTCCATCCTGATTTTAAAAGTAGCACAATCAATGGGGACACTTTAAGTAACATTTCATCCACCTTTTCTCTACACCAAGTATTTGGCTTCCCTTCACTCACATCCGTGGTGTTTGGTATTCTGACCACAGCAGACAGTAACACTCCAGCTGGTTGTCTTGCCAGGAAACATAACCTTTGGAAGGGGAACAGGGGATACAAGCTCAGCAAGCTCCAGGGACCTGTCCTTTTCCATTGCAATCCTTGAACATTTGTACTTTTTACAGAGCCTTATTTGCTCTGCGGGTTACTGAAAAATGAACAACACACTGAGGGGGAGAGGAGGGGGGGCTACAACTTATGATATTTACTATGTATGGCTGAAATGCTTAATTGGCCCAGCACTTCAGAATTTTGAATGTTCCTAATGCAGAAGATGAGAGCTACTGAGCAAAGCAGCGATACCCACTCAGAAAACATTCCTACAGCCAAGGTTTTCCTAATAGGCCACAGCGACATGGACACTGAGGAAATCTGAAGGATCAGCTGATATAAACTACACAAGAGGGAAGATGACTGCAGTGTTTCTCTGTCCTACAGAAAGATGAGTCTTTCTCATGCTGATTATACCTCAATGTCTTGTCTGCTTCAGTGTTAATCAGCCTGGAGTGATCTAATCATTTCCATAATTGCATAGTCAGAGGAGCTGGAGGATACAGACTGTTCATCTGCTGAATTGGCACTGAAAGGGTTTAGAAAACTAAACCCCTAACACAACAGGATCATACAGCATGTTCACTGTTACTATCAAGGACATCAGTGTAAACAAATCACAATAATTTCAGTCTCCACAGTGGGAATGATACTACATTTCTTATAACTTGACAGTGCACAACAGATACTGTATTTTTAGCAAAGGGTCAGATGCATAATCCAGATTTGTATTTATTTACTTTACCTGGAAGTTCTGTATGCAACATTAAAAAAGAAAGCTTCAGTGGGTGTTTTTGCTTCTTAACATCTAAACTTGTAGGCATAACATCACAGAGATGCAACAAGAATCACAACCACAGCACTGCGCAGTGACTCATCTCTCACTATCACTGCATTTGAACAGATGCACCTAGTAAAAGTCCTCAATCAAAACAAATATATAACTTCAGTCCCCTAACATTAGTTTCCACAAAAGTCATTTGTGTTTGGACTTGCTCGCCAGGGCCTCCAGGTTAGCCGGAGCGCCCCACACCGTCCCAAATATGTCCTTCTCAGTCCTCAGAGCTTCAGACAAAGGAAGCTCTCTGCCTGACAGCACCACCTTCTTCACAGCTTGGATCACTGGGGCAGGTCCCTTTGTGTAGCGACTGAGCCAGTTTTCAGCCTGCTGCAGGAGAGGGGCAGCACCTTCTGCTTTCTGATGGCCTTCCAGGACTCCATCCACCAGTCCAATGTTTACGCCAAGCTCGGGATCCACTTTTACAGCCCCGCCAAGCAACTTCAGTGCGTTCTGGCTTCCAACCAAGTGGACAAGTCGGGCAGCACCGCCCCAGCCTGGGACCAGACCCATGTGTTTATGGACAAACTGGATCACGCTGCCTGCTGCCATTAATCTGCGAGAAAGGAAAAACATACGCATGCTAGATTATTAGCTTTTGGATAAAATGCTGTTATGTAACAGAAACTTCTCAGGAGCGTTACCTGAAATCGCAGGCAGTCGTGAGTTCTGCGCCGCCTCCCAATGCTCTCCCTTCCACCAGAGCAACAGAGATCAGGGGGAGCCTACACTAAGAAAATGCTCCTGTAAGCATACTGTGGTGCAGATTATATAAAAACGAAACTAAGACCCCTTTAAGCGCATAAAGGTTACGGTTGTAGTTTGCAAAAAAGCACTAGAGAGGAAAACTAGAGTCCTTACCTGAGCAGCCTCGTAAGAGCATTCTGCATGAACATACACATCTTCATCCCATCCTATGAGACAAGAAAAGCATCATTTAGGCATCTTCAGTAAGAGGGATGCAGGCAGTCACACCAAGATAGACATGAATGCAGTAAAGAATTTGTCCCCTTTGTTACCTGTTGGTTAGATATTGCTCGGACAGCATTAAGGTCAGACCCAGAGCAGAACGTTTCAGCCGCACCCTGAACTATGAGGCCTTTGCCCTCTGGCCAGTTCTCCAGCTGGCTCACCCTTTCCTCCAGATCTATCATCATACTGCCTGCCAGCAGGGCAAAAAATAATCAAAGCAATAAACCAAAGTGCAATTTCACTTACAAATATTTATGGGAGGCTAATTATTATCTGTCAGTCTGCGTCAAATGTAAAGTAACCTTACCAGAGAAAGCATTCATGCGAGATGGGTTGTTGATGGTCAGCACCGCAATGCCAGAGTCCTGTTTCAGCAGATCAATGGAGCCTCCATGAAAGGCCTGAAGCTTCTCTTTGATCTCATCCTGGTTGAAGCCGTGGATGCTGGAGTAAACACAGCCACTCCTCTGTCTCTGCGGCAGCCTTGGAGAAACACTCATTGATGAATAAATGCCTTATTCTCTTTAAACTCCATTCTTATTTATATGTGTGTTAAAGTTAAATGACATCTTAGTCATGTTAAATGTACAAAGCAATGGCATCAGAGTCATTCATGGGTCTACATATGAAAGATCTCAGACTGTCTAATAATTTTAAACACAGTTACAGAATGTCTGCATACTATCAGTGCTTTTTAAATCACATCCTAGTAAGTGTAAGGTGCAAGGCTAGTGTAAGTTTACCTACCTAAGAGCCTATTTCTTTAAAAGTCTACTTTTTAAAAAGATACTTCCACGTACAAAAGCACAGAACAGGCAGTAATATCCATTCATTAGCTATACTCTTATATCAAATCTTAATGAAAATATGGAAGGGTTTTAAGAAAGCGGTTATGCAGGACACACACTGCATAACACATGTGATCTGTGGCCCAAATCTTTATCGACCGTTTATTAGGACTTTAGCTGATAAGGTTTTATCAATTTGTACTGATATGACCAGAGAGTACTGCAGGTTAAATGAGTTTAATGATACTGATTGTTAAGATATCAATAACTGTCATTTAAAGAAAGCTTTTACAAAGCAGCCAAATAGATTCTTGTTGCTCAAAGGTCAAACTGCATGCTTACACTCACAAACAGAGGAAGAAGGAATGGTTTAAAACAACAACTACAAACTCTGTTTAAATCAGCATGGAGGATGTATGTTACTAAGTGATGCAAATAAATGGTAAATATATAATCCAGTTTAGCTGAAATTGTGATGTTAGGATCAACATGAAATTAATAGTTTTTAATACGTGAACACGTAAAATGGATTTAACTTGGCATGGTTGACATTCTTTATTTGCTGTTGCCATTATGGCGATGAGCAATGATGTCTAGTCTCCATCACCTGGCCCAGGTTCTGCAGTGACTGCTGCACCTCAGGACCTGTTGCCTCAGTGCACAGAGGACCATCCTGCTGCTGCATGATGGCAGAGAAACACAGAGAGAAAATATTTGCATTTAGCTAGATTCAGTGAAATTGCCTCAGACTTGTGGCCAAACAATACGACACACCGTTAGGTACAATACTGATCAGTATTTAATAAAATGATACTAGGATACATTGCAAGATGATAATAAGCAACACATCACATTATCTGTGTGAGTGAAAGTGAATAAAAAGAGCCCTAAAGATTCACATAACAGGAGTTATATATTTATTCACCTTATTATGGCATCAATGCATATTATCAGTATTTAATATGATAATATGCTTGATTTAATGATATGCTTTAATAATGTGTCTTCTTCACTTGCGGCTGGTTAACTGTAGTTCACTTTAATGCCACCATGAAGGATCATGAAGTAGAGACCTCTGTTAATTAAACTGGACAGATTTATTATCAATACCTTGCCTCTCCCCTAACTTAGACAGATCACTTTATATAGAATCATAGTGGGAATATGTAATGGACACTTTGAGGTAACCTTTGCAAAGATAATCTGCTGACTGATTAAAACAACAGCAATCTTTTTAACCATACTGTGCGTGTTCATTCCCTTCACACAAATTGACTTTCTGGCTTTTCAAAGCAGGGCTGTGTCAAAAATGATAGAAGACAAGGGCTTTGATGTATTCTTTCACAAGTCCTCAACTTGTTGGACAAGGACATAGTTTTTGCAGTTTTGCCTCTTTGAGGTTTAATTTAAACAATCACTGTGACTGAAATTCAGACTTTGAGCTTTCAGTTAATGAGTTTCACAAACATTTTCATAAACTGAAAATAGGTAAATGTGTGTATAAATTGCTGTAATTCTTAAACAGTTTATTCAAAATATTTACCAAAGTCTTTGAATTAAAGCTAAAAGTCTGCTTTTTAATGACATGTTGATTGCTTGATTTAAAACCCACTGTGTTTGTGTACAGAGACAAACCCACATCAACTGTCTTTCCACAACATATTGTGAATAAAACAGGAACATTAAAATGTATTGTAGCATTTTTTTAGCATTAAGATGAAATGGGCAAAAACAACCGGAGCATTTGACATCTGTAACATATGTCTGTAGTATTACCCAGCTCGGCATAGAGTACATGTAGGAAAACATCTTTGAAACTACTGCAGTACGATACAAGAGTATCAACACAAATAGTTAGTAAACAATTTATCAATAAAATTCCCAGACGAAGAATCAAACTTTGAAATCATACGGTTCTGTTTAGAGGTGAAGCATTTCACAGCTGCAAATGAAATACACTGCGTTAGGAGTCCTTTTCTAGCTTTAATAACGAATGAAATATGTTTCGTTAAATTCGTTTATAAAATTTTAACATGTCGCTATTTCCATTATAAAACACTTAACACGAAACCAACCTTGCTTTATGACAGTCCGGTGGTGTCACTTTGAAATCTGCCCCCCTAGAAACTAGAACTCAGGAAACAAGTATGATAGCCAACGTGTGACTGTAAGTGTTTAAGTCCTCCACCAGGGGGCGGAGTAATACTCATGTTCCTTTACTGCACTTTTGTTCATTTTTAAATAAAATAAATATATAAACAGATTTTATATTTTTTTAAAGAAACAATATATATATAATGCTGGTGCATAGACTGAACAATATTTTAAAAAATTAATAATTTATTGTTGAACTATAATGTTATCCATCATAGGCCTATTGACTCCACAGAGAGACCTGCTCTTTATCACATGTCTGTAAACACTGCACACTGAGACTCTGGCTTTTGCAGACATGCCCTTATTCAGTAGCACTGACACCAGCCCTTCAAAAAGCACCCAGGACTCATATTTCCATGTCGGCACAGGCATTTGGCATTCATAATAACATGACCTATTGTAAAATTGTCACTATTGTACAGTGAGTTTTCATGGTAAAACCCTATTATAACCGGTGATGATTTATAGTATAAAACATCTTTACTTGACACCAGTGAGCAGGTCATGGCAGTGAATTCTTTCTAATCTAGCACTATGTCAACATTTTGTCAAACAACCAAAACTGTATACACAAAGTAGACATTGCAAAACATATGAAATAGGTGGCTGGAATAAGATCAAGATGAGGGTTAAGATTCCGCTCAGTTTCTCCTGAGCAGCAATACTATAATGGCAAAGGGGTCGATTTATCCGCATATATTTACATATTTATTTGGTTTTGAATGTATTTTGGTTCCCAGTGAATTTATGATATGTGCTTTGTCTAAGGAACTATTTGCTTTGCTTTGTGAGTGATAGACAAAAATGTGTCCGAGATCACAGTACTGTCCAAGGATTACCTTTAAATACATCTTTAAGACAATGCGTTACATTTTTTTTTCTGAGTCACAGCAACAATGAAAAAACTGAGGTTTGTGAAGATTTGCAGTCTTATCATCATTTGAAGGAGAAAGGAGAGAAGGTTGAGAAAGAGTTAGAAATCATGGGCTTGCAGAGAGTGAATAATCATAAATAAATAAGAATGAGAGGAGAATTTACTGTAAATAGAAAGAGTTGGTGAAGGAAAAGGTGGAAAATATGTGCCAAAAACAGAAGGAGGCTGAGACACTTCCTGCCCCGTGGTCTGGCATGTGGTTAGTGGACACATAAATCCTTCCCTTCAATCCACACATCCTCTACCGCTATTCACAGCCCATAGCATCTCTGTGGAAAGAGCACAGGAACCAAAAATACCCCCCTCATTTCGTTCGGATTACTGAAGATTCCTTTTCACTTGACACAAAACGGTTATCTGAGAAGAACTTGTCAAAATATTGTTGCGTTCACATGCCTAGAACCACAGCTGATCAGATAGCAGGGGCCTTATTTAAAACTGTCATCGCATACTGTTTTACAGGACCGTTCAAATGAAAATATTTTGCACATACAAGCGCCAGCTGTCTGGATCAAAGTGTAATTTTCATTAAATGGTTTATTGTAGCCAGACACAGTCATAGTGCAAACGTAAAAAGGTCATCAACAAGGATACACTGCACTGTAACCAAGGCAGCAATAGAGTCAACTCTGTTTAAAAGTCCACCCCTCTCCAGTCTATTTAAAAGTGGGGAAGGAATTCAAATGTTGGTGGGACTCTTCCCAGGAAGGCATTCCAGACACGTTGACTCCCTTTCTTGCTCTGCATAGTGCATTAAGCTTGGTCAGCTAACCTGCAACCTGTCCATAAATATCACTGTGTGAAGTGCAGAACCTAAAGGACATCGTGGCTTTGTGCAGTTTGCATATGCATTGGTCTCTCTGTAGTGTGTGATAAACAAGCAGCCTGGTGTGGTATCTTCCATCTTTCAAACTGTGCTCATCTACTTTCAGTCACTGTCTGCTCAGCCCTTTTAGCCTGTTTTATTATCCATCTGGATATCAGTGATGCAGCCACGGACTGATAATGGAAGGCTGTCTGAAATTACAGCCTCGCTAATGGGAGAAAGGCAGGGATACATTTCTCACATCTGCCTATATGCATGCACAAATGCTGTTGCATGCCCTGTATGTCTGTGTGTGTTTCAGTGTGTGGCCGTGTGTTTACTGTATGTGGCCTTCAAACTGATGCATCAGTGTACTGATCAATATGCAGCTGTCTGGGGCTCCACAGGAAGTCGGGGAATGTGCCGCAGTCAGCATGGCTCTAAACCAACACATCAAGATAAGGAAACACACACACAGGCACACATTCACACACACATACACACTCAGAGGACATTACCTTGATTTAAGTACAATTCCTAGAAATCTGACCGACAATATCCTTAAAATATGTGTTTGTTTTTTGTCCACATATAGAGCACAATCCCCTTTAATAGGGGGTCCAATAGACGGAGTAACATCTCAGCTACACTCAGAGATGAGATAAGAGCCTGTAAGGGTCTATTTCAGAGGACAAAGAATGGCAGGTTTGCAGGTGCCAGAGGTTCTCTGGGGCCCAGAGGCTTCCTGTGAGGAGTGCTTAGAGGTCTGTGGGGGTGGACGGCAGAGCGCCAGGAGACACTGGTAAGGCTGTGGATACATTTCAGTGGAGGCAGCAACAGGGACGTGACCATTCAAGATGCAACTGAAACACTGGCAGACAAAAAGACACCTATTGTAATGTGTACCATGCATTTGAAACAACACATTATGAACCAATTTTTATGCAGACTACATTCTTTACAACTCACAAATTTCTCAATTAAGAAATCCTAAGTTATTTTTTTCGGACATGCTTAATGTTCACAGTGTTCAATATGTGGCTGAAGCGCAGGCTTTCATCTTTATTTCAATGAGTTTTACAAAAATCTTTTTACTACTTGGATGAAAAAACTTTGCAGGCAAGGTGTGCCTGACGTCTAGAACAAATGCTCCATTTTCTCACTCGAGCTGCTCTGCTAGACCTTTACTGCAGCCACCTTCAATTTCTGCTTGTTTGTGGTGGGTCTGTCTGCATTCAGTTTTGTATTTAATAATGGAAAAGCATGTGCTGTTGGGTTGATATCAAATTGACTTGGCCACTGAAGAATATCCAATTTCTTTGCCTTGAGAAAACCTTGGGTTGCTTTAAAGTATGCTTTGATTTTCCATTTACTAACTGAAGCTCTATCTGATTTTTGCAGCATTGGGCTGAATCTGACCACAGCGTATTACCATGTACACTTCACAATTCATCCTGCTACTTCTATCAGCAGTCAGAAGTAATTTAACCTAGCTGTCTTATTTAACTGCAGTGGGTTTTCTGGGAGATGAGCACGCTGGTTTTAGGGTGGATTACTCTACAATTAATCGTTTTACATGATGTAATTGATTTATATTTGTACTATAAGAAACAACTGTACTTTACTTTTAAATAGATAAAAGCAAGCTTTTGATTTAGTGGAAAGAAGTCTATTATGGTTTAAGTTAAGTGGGTCATTTGTTGATAGATACTTATTTGGTTTCTTTCTAAAGTAAAGTCAGCTAAAAAAAGTCACATCATCAATAAACGCTTGTGACCTGGTTCTACTGGCTGCTATACCCATACAGAATAATTTTGCCTCCAGCAGGCTAAGTCTAATTGAGTGAAATCACTGGTTTGCACCTTGTTGTCAACAATTTGCAAGAGGATGTCTCTTTCCTGTAGACTTTGGCAGTGATACACCTGCCTCCTCAAGACTTGGTTAGATGCTGTAAAGTTGTTTTTCTTATCCACTGAAATAATACTTTCTTTGTGCACTTTAGTATTCTTCTTTGGTCTTCCAGGCCTCTTGCTGAGCTGGTCATTGCATTCCTTCTTTTTAACAATGCACCAAATTGTTGAGTTTCTGCTATCTCTCTCATAGGTTTATTTGGTGTTTTCAGCCTAATTATAAACCTCTCACTCGCAGGTAGATCTCTTTAGGTCTCATATTTAAAATTAAGTTAAAAGGTTTAAACTACACTCATGTGACTTAACCTCAGATATTATGTCTACTTTATTTGTCAGTAAAAAAAAAACAAAAAAACAGGGAAGCAGGCCTCACCTGGCCGTGAAACTGCTGGTCAGTATTAAAATTCTGATATTTATCTTTCTGATCTTTCACTAATGACATTACAAATAATGGCTTGCTAAAGACAATTTTCCATTAACTATTACAAGAATAACCAGTAGTCTCTTATAGCTCATGTGTCAACACTTGGTGACGGTAATTTTAAGTGTTACCATTCTTTGCCTCCTTGATGAAATACAGATTGTTCTCTAAATTCTTTCCCTCAGTGTTATTTTAATCAGCAACAGGATAAAGAGCACTGGTTATATAATGGTTTTAGCATCTGGAAACCTCCAGATCTGACTACAGGATAGCACAAGTGTGCACTCTTGCCCAACCTTGACATAGTAAAACAGGGTCGACAGCCAATATGGTCCTAGACTGGGCAGGTCAGAAGAGAATGACAATATTTATATTTATATCAGCCCCTGGTAGGATTTCTGGCACCACAACATTGTCGCACCTGTTATTTCAGTCAGCCTAGAGTGCAAGGTTTCAGGGTGTGTGAGTGTGTGTGAAGTTGCATAACTAATGCATTTACTAAACAGAGCCTTGACATTCATAAATAGCATGGTACTTTTCATGTTTTTGTGTTTAGGCAAGTAAAAAATAAACACAAAAATGCATATTTACTCCATGTGATGGAAACATATTTACAGAAAGGAATGTGGGAAAGAAAACTGCAAAAAGAAAAGGTGGGAACAGAAGTGCTTACACATTGACATTATAGTGTTTAGTGTCAGACAGACAGTTCCTGATGTCACGTTGCTCTGCACTCACAGGAAGAGATCACAGTGTTACCAGAGATCTTGGCCAGCAAGATTGAAGCAACTGGAGCCAGACAGTCGTTTGATTCTGGTGCTTCATCTCTGTGAGCTGAAACGTCATGCACTGTGACTTGATTTCTCTCACATAAATATTTATGCGCAAAGTCTGACCAATGTCCAAAATGTACTAAATTATTGCTCATAGTGAAAGGATAAGGTTTGAAGACACATGCAGCCTGGGAATCAGGCATGGGTTGATTGCTGAGAAATAAATTACTCAATGTCTGCCCTCTCCTGTAGTTTGTGTTTTGACCTAATCTACCTATGATCTTCTTTTTTCTCTTCTTCTTACCCTCACCACCTGCCAGTCACAAATGCCCACTCTTTCCTGCCTCTGGTTGTGTCAGACTCAGGGGAGGATGAAGAAGAACCCCCTGTTAAAAGGGGGTTGTTTCTCCCCGCCATCGTCATGAGTTTACTCACAGGGGATTTTGTGATTGTTGGGTTTTTCTCTTGTGGAGTCTTTGATTTGCAACACATAGTGCCACAAGGCAACTGTTGTTATAAGTCATTGCTTATACATATTTCCATCCATTCGCTTCCGCTTATCCTTTTCCTTGTCAGCCCTTGTCATAGGGCGAAAGGCAGGGTACACCCTGGACAGGTCGCCAGTCTGTCACAGGGCCAACACACAGGGACAGACAACCATTGCCACTCACATTCACTCGCACATTCACACCTATGGGCAATTTGGATTAACCAATTAACCTATCCCCACAAGCTGCATGTCTTTGGACTGTGGGAGGAAGCTGGAGTACCCGGAGAGAACCCACGCAAACACGGGGAGAACATGCAAACTCCACACAGAAAGACCTCCACCTGATGGTGGAATTGAACTCAGGACCTTCTTGCTGTGCGGAAACAGTGCTAACCACTGTGCCACCGTGCTTATACATATTTATCATATTAAATAGGTCAAATAAAAGGGTTTGTTTATGGGACTAGTCAATTTATTATTTTCTCTATTCTACTGTATAATAACACGCCTCTCATATTGTGTTATGTTTGTCTGTTGCTTTCACAACACGATTTAAGCTGTCAACAATTTTGAGAAACGTCGCTAACAACAGAGCATGACAAAAGCACATATAGCATATCCTAGATATATTACAGGTATATTACAAAGACACTCTGACATGTCATGTGAAAAGAGAAGCAAAATCCTTATGTTTATTACACAAAATGAACAGCAAAGGCATCACTTTCATGATTTACCACTTTGACTCAAAAATACTGTACTACTCAGCTGAGTAATGTCCTGATATGTGACCATTCAGAATTAGGAAAAGTAGAGAAAAAGGCTGTTCTACGTCTTTCATATGCATTGTTAGCCATGTTATGCAATTAAGCAGGAGCTCAAGAATTAGTTTTGACAGAAACTCTAGAAAACATCAGAAGTGGATGGACAAAAGAAATGTAATTACAAACAATGCATTTAATTGAAGAAAAAAAAAGAAGGAAATGTTGAATAAATCAGCCTTTGGTACCAAGTTATAAAAAAAACTCACATTTAACCTGTTGATATCAAGTAAATGTTCTTTTTGCTTAGTAAAGAAAAATTAAAACCACAAGTAAGTGTAAAGCAATGTGTTTTAGTCACAGGCAAGGTACAATCCAGGCATGTACTGAAGATAGTGATCAAGAAGGCAGAAAACTGACACTGCTTTGTTTGGGAGAAAGTAATGCTAAAAGAAAATCCACCATCTTTATCTCTGAAGTCAACATGATGCTACATGTTGTATATGTAATATCACACTTTGTGCTAAAAAAGCACATAAACACAATGCACGCAAAATACAAAATAAAGTACATTGTAAACACATTCTTTTGGATTTTACTTGGTTTAACCACTTTATCATGAATCAACATCACTTTCAATGTGTAAATACAGTTTATATATCAGAGTGAGAAGTGAAGTGTCTGTTGTTGACGGATTAGCAAGGCTACACTAGTCAAAGCTAGAATCCAGACCTGAGCAGAGATTATCCTTTCAGATGGTTAATATAAATAAATAACACGCCGGCTGTGTTATTCCTTGGAAGGTGATGTATTCAACGTCGGATGTAAGGTATGATTCCTAGCAGATTAATCAGAGCGTACTGCTGAATTACTGAAGCTGCTTCAGACACTTTCTTACCTTTCTTGGTCAATTAGGCTCCACTGGATACCATACATTCTAAGAGTTTGCTGATGAACTCACAACTAAAGCACTTCTTAGTCTGTAGTAGCTAAGAGGCAGTCTGGATTTTTATATACAACAGTAAAAAGCAAAGGTTCAAAATTCAGAGGTTATTATTCAAGGCTTCTGGTTGGTTCGGTCACACAGTGAAGATCAAATGATGATAGTCTCAATGTGAAAGGCATGTGAGTATGTAAAAGAAGAGGAGAGCTTCTGAAGGGGAATGGATGGAGGCACAACAGGAGTGGTAGAGGGAGAGGACGAGGTGGAGGAGGACGAAGTGGGGGAGCGGCTGGCCCATCGCGAGGGGAGACGACGGTTGGCTGGGCGGGCAGGTCTTGAAAAGCTCTTGTGGGTGGAGGAAGGCTCTTCATTTTCCTGAGAGGAAAAAAATGAATTAACATTTAGGATCATCACACCGTCCTGTCTTCAATCAAGTTCACACACTTAGATACTTTACATTCTGTCATGTGTTCCATTAGTTGTCTTCTTGACCCTAGGGAAAACAACAGGCACATTTCAAACAGGAACACTAAAATAAAGCATTCTTATGTGGAAAAAGTCACACATGGTGGTCGAGGGGAAAGTGAAACTGAATATCTTACATATGCTGCAGTTGAACCGATTTAAAAGCACTTCAGAATCATCGTGGGTAGTGCTCCTCAGTTGTGCCTCCAATTACGTTCTTTTCACGAGGTCAAATAAAACTGGCTGATAATTGCACAATTTCTTAAACATTTGCATGACTTGAAAGAAGCATAATCACTTCAGCTCACTCCACTCTGCAATCTGCCAAGGGCATTTAGTCAGCTGGTTTCTTGCAGATACTTCTGTAATTTCAACACAAAGGCCAGAAAAACACTTCCACTATAGAACCATTGAAAGATGAAAGACAAGCCAGTGAGGGTGAGCAGACCTCCCTTTTTTAAACTTTATATACCACACTGCCAGTTCCTTTTGTTAAGAGCCTTTAAGCAATGGAATGGCCCAGATGCCCAGATTATAATGGAGGCTTTGGCCTGCCTCTGTCTCTTAGCACATACCAGAAATAAACAACATTCCCACTGGAGCTGTCCTCAGTCAAGGGTAATTGCCTAGTGTTTCATAATGGAACAGAACAAAATGTACAACTTCCTGGTCCATTGGTATAACTGGCCCCAAAAATATAGTGTTACTTAAATAGATTTTGTTCAAACTTAAATACACAGTTGCAGACTTTCTTCAAGTGAACTTTCTTTATATTAACATCTTCATTGTGAAGATCTGCTGAATGAAAAAAGCATTTCCATTAATACAGCATAATTCTGTCAAGCTCCACCCACCTGCACTACAAGCTGTATCTCTTTCACACCACTGGCACTGTGGCTGCTTAGCTGTGCATGACTGGGGTGCATGACTGGGGCACTCTGTGTGTGTCTCAAAGTAAGAGGTAAAGGCAGAGGGTTCACATTCAGCATGTCCAGTTCTGTGGCGTTCTTCTCATGTGCAGCACTGAAGAATGGGTTAGAGTTAGAATGCATCTCGTTCTGTTGGTTCTGTTGTGCCCGAGCTGCACTTTCATAATTTTTCAGAATTCTTTCAACTGCTCCATAGTTGGACCTGGATCCCTCAGGCCTCGGGTATGCAGCAAGAGTGAGGGGTTTCCACGGATGGTCATTCATTATTCGAGGCCCAGGTCTGGAGGGGTCAGACTGGCAGGAAGACCCTGAAACATGTCTTGGCTGTGCCGTCTGTCTTTGTTTGTTCTCAGCAGACAGCTGCTGGAGTGAAACAGCAGCTCTGACTGGCTGAGCCTTTGCTCCATGGGGATTCTCTTTCTTAGAGCTGGAATCATCCACAGGCTGAGCTGGCTGAGTACTTGCAGGCAAGACCGGTTCAGAAAAAAGACCCTCTGTTGCTCCTCTGTGTTGTGTTTTCTTCGAAGGACTGCTTGCTGTTCGAACTTTGTGCTTGACCTCACAATGGTGTGCAGGATTATGAGAGGGTACTGATGCTTCCCTAAGAACAGCCTGTGGGGGAACAGTTGAAAATACAGAAAGAGGTTCTTGCTTTATAATAGCCTCCTCTGGTTTAGTGGTGCATCTTACTGACCTTGGTTGGACCTCAGGGTTCTGTATTGCAGACTCTGAGACAGTTGCTTCAGGATGCTCACCCATGATGCTAGTGGTTGCATCAGTAAAATGTGGCTCAAACATAGTCTCTTTGGAAGGTAAAACCTCAGATTCTGTATGGACCGGTTGGAAACCCACTGAGCTGGTATTCGTTGCATTAAGACTGTCTTCTCCATCTACCCCACGGCCCATCTCTGCCTGAAATAAAGTTCGGTTGAACTCAGCTGTTTTTTGTTCCAGCATTATGTTTCTTCTGGATCCCTGAAGGTTGGGGCTGACAGGTGAGGACAGGAGCAACTCTACAGGTCTGACAGTATCTCTGACAGTTGGAGGTGTTTGTGCCTCAGCACCTTTTAAATTCCCAACACCTGGACAGTAATCTGAACACAGATCTTTCCTGGCAGTCCGTATGTTGACTTCAGAGAAGCTTTTCTGCACAGATCCATATGTGGACAACTTACTGTTAGTGAACGTGCTTGTATCACAGGACCAGCGGTTATGGCAACAGGCCAAATTACAGTTAGAGTTAGCAGGCACCGAGCACGATGCTACCACACCATCTACAAAAACTTTTCCTTCATTTTCTTGTAGCATAGCCCCAAACTTCCTGACAATGGATGGGCTGCTACACTTTCTGTCCACTAAAGCGCAGGGACTATGGCACTTCTTCACAGTTGATATTGGAGATTCTGGGATGTGCAGTTCTGTGTCCGGATGGGTGGGAGTGCTCAGATTCCAGGAGGAGGTCCGAGGAGGGATTGGTGGGGCTGCTGTATCCATTTCAGAGTGCACTCCATGGCTTGTCTGTGTGTTTGTGTAGCCATCTGGATCAGTGTTATTTGTTGTCCAGGATTCACTCAGCCCTTTTTTTACTTGCCAGGTGTTACCTGGAGACAAAGTGATCCAATTTTCCCTCTCCAAGGCCAGGAGATAATCGTAGATCTGGCTGAGGTCACAAGGAGCTTCATCCACATCTAGGGGCGTTTCATTATGGCCAAAGAGTATGTCACTTTCCTGAGATAGGCACAGAGATTCAGATCGATTCCTGAAAGCAAATAAAGTGTAAACTGAGTCCATTATCTTTCTACAAAATCAATCTAGACAATTTACATCTGAAGTTTGAAGAGAAATGTCATGTATTTACACTTTGCAATAAAACAAACATGGCATTGACACTATGTACATGGTGAGCTTCAGCAGACACAGATTATCCTACTCCTATGCTGGTGCCAGAGAGTTAACATAAAAACAGGGATTTACCTCTTATCTCCCTTCTTCTTTCTGATCTCATCCTGGTAACTACAAAGCTCCTCACTTACACGGGCAATCTCTTTGAGAGCCTGAAACAGACAAACGTTGCAGAAAGAAAGACAATGAGACAAGATGAATATTGTGTAATGCCAGAGTATTTTATCACTAAAACCTAGAGCTGGTGGTATGGCACATAAAGAGGATTATCTGCAAAAGGTCACCAAGTGATGACTAAAATACAGGTACAGGGCAGAGTAAGGGTATACCGTTTAACATCACCAGTGACAAATATAGTGTAATATATCTAGTGTTAGAGTTAATAGCAAATTAAAAAATAGATAAAACCCTCACAGCATTAAGAGCAATCGTATTCGTCTTCTTGTCACTGCCGTCGCTCAGGCCTCTTTCCTCATTGCCTTTACAAACATTTTCCTTTTTTACTCCACATTCTGGGGCTCCATGATAATCAGCATCAAGCTCTGCTGTATCCACATCTTCCTTATTATCAGTGACTGAGCTTTGCTGCCAAGTCCCTGCAGATTTTAATACATCCACAAGCTTAGGTTGTGAATACTGGCTCCGAGCAAACTCATTACCAACAATAAAATCACACAGACTGTCTTTCTGGAAGCAGGTGGAGTGGTGACTGTTTTTGTTACCGCAACCACCATCAACACTGATGCTTCTGTTGTGATAAAGTCCAGGTAAAGACGGATGTCTGTTTGGTTCTGACTGACTGCTGCTGCTGAGTGGCTCCGAGTGGCAGTTATCGCTGAGAAGACTCGACCCTGTACTGGTAGAGCGGATGCTGAGTCTATGCACAGCATCACTGGCGGCATCCGGTCTGCCACTGTCCAGTCCAGGCCCTGCTCGCTTGGTTCTCACCTCACAGTACAGCTAGAGATGAGAAGAGGAAATAGAGGTCAGAATTTACACAGCTATGTTGACAGACTTTGTTAACAGGTTTCTAATAGTGAAGGAAAGGCAATAATGTTATTAATCTAGGCAAATATTTCATTTAGAATGGAAATATTTTTGAAAAATAATATCTGTAGTAAGATTTTTTTTTATCCAGTGATATTATTAGTTTAATGACAAGAATGCATCTTTTAACAGACTAGTGTGCTACAGCATACTCCAACCTCAACCTTAGGATGAGATTAAATATCACAGATAAAACAGTTCATGAAAGGCTCAAGCAGTGCGAAGACTATAAATGGCACCATATGATTATACAGTAAAATTCTGGATCCACTGCTTATGCATAATAATAACTTCACGTTAAATGATGAGAAGTCAGGCAAGAGAGCTAATGAACATTTTTAGACCACAGCAGACTAAAGAAAATAACATTCAAAGACTTCTCTTAAATAACATTGGATAACCTTTGGCCTCCTACCATGGAAATCTTAAAATAGTAAGCCATTCATACCGACTAGGCTCCCTTCCCATCATGCAATGTCTAGATGGGACTACTGCGCTTTAGCCTTCTTTATTCCTCTGTTGTTTTCCTCTCTAATTTTCTGGTCTCAAGGGGGCAAATTAGAGCCACATGTTCTTTTCATAGCAAATTGTTCCAGTGCTTTTGCTCTCTGTCCAACTACTTGGGTATAAAAACACTAATCTGCTTTACTGGGCATGTCAGGTTTCAATCCACTTGTTTAATTTCTCAACTTTATGTAACTACATAAAAACAAAACAACATTTAAACAAAAATAAAAATGTGTATAGTGCAAAATAGCAGGATGGTAAACGGCTAGTAATGTCTAGTCTATTGTTCTAATTCAGCAGCGTGATTGATGTAGGGGCAAAAACTGTTTAACAGGAGCATGACCCTTGAGCGAATGGTCCTGTACCTCATTCCCTGACTGCATAAGTGAAAACAGACTGCACAAAAGATGAGTGGGATCATTTGCAATGCCCAGACTTCTGCAGATGCAGTGCTTGTTGTAGATGTCCAATAGTGTTAGAAGTGAGGCACCAATGACCTTTTCTGCTGTTCTCACATAAACAGGTATACTTCTGAACATTAAAGATCAAGGATTTCCTAAACTTGTGTTCAATTAGTCAATTTGCACTTTAGAAAAGTGTGAATAACTTCACACCAAGGTGGGATCAATTGCACCATATCAGCACATTCTATTATCCAAATAGAAATAAGAAACCAGTAATTTTTCTGACTGCTGCAGACTTGTCTAACATAGATGTTTACATATGGAGGAGTTCATTACTGCAGCACTCCAGGTCACTGACAGTCCTAATCACTGCCTCTCGCCTGTCTCAGAGTCCAGAGGACTAACAGAGCGCTCTAATTCTTCCAATGCCTTTCTTTCCTCAAACTCCGTTGTAATGATCGGGGAGGATGTTTTCACACAGTTGATGGTGAACAGGATGTGAAGGAGGGAAGTGTTACACACTGTAGCAGCTATATGAAGCCATACATCACATAATTTCCTGTTATGGATGGACAATTAAAAGTGGCTAAGTTAACTACTACTCAACAACTACTGTACAACGTTTGTAATTTTTGCATACTTGATGTGATGTTTCACTTTTTCTGTGATAAGCTTTTATTGTTGTTGTGTTTACTGTTATATAAACGTGCTGCAATAAAATTGCCCTGACTATGACTGTAAAGACAACTTTCACCTTTAACCACAAATCCAATGAAATGTAGACATACCTTCACACTCAGAGCATCTTACCTCTTCTATTTTCTTCTGCATATCCTTCAGCTGGCTCTCCCACTCCCTTCTTTCCACGTCAAACCTTTCCAGCAGCTCAGTTTTCTCTCTCAACCAGTCCTTCTCGCTGTGCTCCAGGCGGCTGCGCAGGTCCATGGCCGTAGAATATGTATCTGACAGGATCCTCTGCTGCTCTTCCCTCTCCCTGCAGGTCGTCGATGTCTCACCGTGCTGTTCTCGAGTGCACCGTGAAGCTGAAGAGCAAGGTCCTGCTGCTGACTGGACCCCTCCACGTACCAATCCAGCAGCCTCTCTACCCTCCAACTGAAAGAACCAGACAGGGAGTGCACAGTTTGCAGAGGAGGAGAAAAAAAGTTAGCAGGGAGATAGAAAGAAAAAGAGTGGGAGAGACATTGTAGAAAACAGTCGTGATAAAGGATAAATTGCAATTGGAGAACCAGAGGACGAAAGCCAGATGACAAGACATGAAGGCAGGAGTAGGAGAAAATGTTAAATGTGGAATTAAGAGAATGAAGGAGGGGCAGGAAGAGAAGGTGGAGGAAGTGGGGGAATAATACACCATGGGGATAAGTGTGAGTGGGTTCACAAGTAGGAAGAGAGAGAAAGACAAAAAACTGAATACTGAAAATATCCTGTAAGAACCCACACACAGGTTCATAGGTTCAGGGTTCAACTTTCTTTTCTATGGTACTTAACGAACACAGGATACAGTGCAGGATATGGCATTTTCACACACAGGAAAATATGTCTGCAGATGTGACCTCAGTCAAATGACAGTCTGGTAATCCAGTTATTTGTGTTAAGATGGTTTTTTAAACACAAATAAGGATACAACCATGATTCCTTTCAATGCAAATAGCATTGAAAACATTACTAATATGCCAGTCTTATTGGATTCAATTTGAATTTTCTGTTTTAATTAAATAAAGGTCCTTCTTAAATAAGATAGGATGGGCATTTCCCCTGGGATTTTCCCTGTTGAACAGCCAAACATGGACACTGAAAGTATGTTATCGAATTACTGAGAATGAAAAGAAATCTCGCAAAACTATGAACTGTAAGAGAAAAGGATAGAAAGAGAAAAATGACTTAGCCTGAAAATAACAAACACTAGAGCACTGGTGGCCTCAGTTTAATATAGCAGTGTTGGGGAAAACCCATCTGATGTAGAGAATGTGCTTTTTTACAGAACTAAGGATAGGGGGGTGTTTCAGTACACAGATCTGTGCATTCCATGGCAAATGTGCATTTTTGTTGCTAGTAAAAAAAAAAATGGCTTTGGTGCTGGAAAGAGCCCAGGACAACGCCTGTGCATACAGTATATTAGTGTGCCTGGGTGTGTGTGCATGTGCGAGTTTGTATGTAGTGTTTGTTAGAAAGAGGGAGAGAATGCATAAGCTTGCACAAATGCGTTATTTCAGTGTCCATCCGCAGACACAAACCAAAAACCTCGGTCATGGTGTTATTTTTGCCTGTGGCCTGGGATCAACAAATTATGGAGTAGAAAAACAAGTCAACACAATCTGCCTGTAGCTCTTTTCAAAATTCTCCACAATTAGAGATGGATGATGACGGGTGCTGTCCACACTCTATTTAAACATCTACATGTAAACAACTTGTGAAAATACAGAAATAACATGCTTGGAGTCACAATAAAGAGCCAAGCAAAGTTTTCAATGATTGACAAAGGAAGTTAAACTGTCTTACAAAGGAAATACTGCAGGAACATGTAAACAGAGACGCAGATTACCAGCATTTCTTCCAGCACAAGGAAACATACTCATTCACATCCTTAAATTCAGTTTTGATACACAACCTCCAACTACTCTTGGCCACCCTGATAGTCACTGTATGGCACACAGGGTATATAAAGGTAACTGTGTCACCAGGGTGACCCACTATAAATAGCGAACACACAGCTTGTACAATGTTACATTCCAAGGGGAGGCGGGGAGCTGTGGTAAAGGGAAAAGGGAGCGTTGGCTGCTAAAGCAGAATGAGATGTCTCCTAGCTGCCAGCAGCATTCATAAATCAGTGGCATGCAGGGAAATATGCCTGGAAATATCGGGCTAAGACCTCTGCCTGGGACCCTGGATGCTTCTTTGGTATCTGGAAACAACATATAGCAGTTACAAAATACAAAAGCCCACCAAAGTAAATTATGTGCCTTTAATATATGAATATATGAGCACAAACATACAACTGCTGATAAAATACTGCAGCCCTTTATTTGACTCGCTTTGGCTTGGAGCCCATAATCTCTGGTACAGCAATTAATCTAGAAAACATATCAGTGAAGCCAAACTTTAAAAAAACTACTCATATGGCTAAATCTTGCAGCTTCTTTATGATTCACCACCTACAAAACGACCAAAAGAGAATAAATTAAAGTCTGATACTGCTTTCAAAACGTCTCCTTAAACTGCACTAATAAATAAACAGCATCTAGCTGTTCAGCTAGCAGGATACTGTACTAAAGAGCTCAGATGATACCACTTTAACTTTATGACTCAGTCGAATGCATTTAACGGCAGTTTTTAAAACATACATGCACAGAGTGACATGTATAAATATTCTTCATTTCATTACTATTATAGATTGTCATCAACATGATCAAAGGTCACATTCAAAGCACCGTAGCGATTTCTTGCCCTTTAGTACACCATGTGTTTGCTTTGTCTCACTAAAAAACTGATACTTCTGCTTCTGGCACAGTGAAACCAACATGTTGAAAATGACAGAGGAGTTTGTCACCCATGCTGAAATTGTTCACATATCACTTCAAAGTGAAATGAAGCTACACCCAGTTTGCGCGGCTGACTTCCACTCATTGATTTGCATTCATTCTTGTCAACCTTTGTGAGGTGTTTCACAGACAACTAACATTTGTTTAGTTCAGTAGTTCACACAGAAGTGAAAAGAGTGAAACAAACAATAGACCCCCCCTATTTGATATGCAAGGTAATTAGAAGTCTGCAAGTCAGTTAGTAGAGTTCTCTGCTGTAAATAGTTTGGATTTGGATCTTTAAGAGCGACCTTATTTTTACTCTTGGTAAACATGTGCCCAAAAGCATAAACTGTGGCAGGATGAGGCATCAAGACAAACAACTACAATGGAGTAAATCTTACTCAGCATGTCACATTTCACTTTTGTCTGTTTGTGCAATCCATACAGAAAACTGTGAGTGTGCATGAGAGGCAACATTCTAAATACTCTCATTTGACACAAACACAAAACGCTATGACACAAACTACTATGAGGCCTTTGCAAACATATACCAAGGACAGACACTGACAGACACCTGTGCCAAAAAAAAGCTCTCAGGTGGCAGGTAACTGTCTCTAATACAGATAAGTACATTTACAGCATCTTGGTGAAAACATCAGTGTGTGTGTGTGTGTGTGTGTGTGTGTGTGTGTGTGTGTGTGTTTCTCTGGTATCATGGTATGCTCTGCAGAAACTGAATTGTCTTTCTCACACTGGTTCACTGAGCTTTACGGACACAAAGCAGAACAGTAAATGTCCGTTTTTATTTGGCTATTTTTCAACCACACTGTGAAAAGGCCCTGGGGGACAAAGAGAAGAGCTGAGAAGTCACAGTCTGCTCTCTACTCACATACAGAAAAGCTACATTATGATAGTTAAACCAATGTGTGTGATCTGACAAATCCCTGGAACTTAGTTTAATTCTAGTGTTATTACTTCTCAGCAGTATCATTGCAGCAACCCCTTAATTTCTATCACCATGTTATAGAATTTAGGAGATTCATGACTTCACTCAGAAGGAGATCAATCAGTTTAAAGTCTGTGATAGGAATGATATGGGGCTCATCTAGCAGATAAAGCTGCTGCCATCACAACATCACAGAGAAACTACAGCTCCAACGAGCAAAGAGACATGCAAAGCAGTCAGTGTGCAGTTAAGTCTTAATATTAACAGAGTTCACAGCATGAAAAGTTTTCATCCTTTCTTTTGATCTACAAAGGAAGAACAAGTCTCATAAGATTTAGGCATTAAAGCAGCCAAATAAATCCATCTTCTGATATAACCAGAAAAAATGCTAAATCCCTAAAGCCACACTGCTTTGAAGAATAGCTGTGAATGGTCATTCAAGTGATCCATACAGTGCTCAACACAGCATGGCACTGGTATGCAAACTTAACTTCAAGTAGTTTCTGTCCTTTTTCACCACGTTTAACAATAGCTATCCATTGCCAAAACAGGCTAATGTTTCATTTTCCCAGAGCCAGCAGTTGAAAGCCAAGTTTGGTGTTGGTTTCTGGCTCGGTGGGAAAACTAAGTTTGTCTCGTCCATGCAAATCTTTTGTCTGAGCTGAGGCTTGAGTTGGATAGAAGCCACTGTGACTTATCACCCTGCCATATTGGCAGCAAGTCCAATTTACACCACAATGAATGCCAGCCATGCGCAAACACAAGAAAATATGCAATTATTAAAATAAGATGTGTCTGTGTGTGTACATATATACTAAAAATAAAGTCACCATCATCCCTCACTTACCTGTGCAATCCTGCATTTAAGTTCAGCTTTCTCCAGCTCCCATGCACATCTGTCTCTGGTATACTGCAACTGGAGCTCTGTTCTCTTCTCTTCTTCTCTCTTCACCTCCACCTGCACTTCTTCTAAAACCGTCTTCAGGTCCAACAGAATCCTCCTGTTCTCCCCTCCCTGCAGGAAACCAATTTTTTTCTTTTTACAATCACAGAAGAACTCAGAAGAAATGGATGTTTGATAATAGACAGCTGGTTACACAAACAAAAGATTAAACATTCAATTTCACTCCAAAGAATAATCTAAGAACATTAAACATTAAATACACCAATTTATAGTTGTGTGCTACTGACAAAATATTCGTATTTTAGTATAGCTGACAGACGAGTTGTAATGTTCTCAATTACTTGTATGTCAGCCACTTCTCTCAACAATGACTCCTTCTGGCGCATCCATTCTTCTTTGTCATGTACGTGTCGCTTTTTTAGATCCTCAAATTTCTTTTTTAGCCGTGTATGCTGGGCTTCCCGCTGCTGCTGCTGCTGCTGCTGCTGGGGTTCTGGACCTGGCCACATTTGCTCCCTGTGAATCTCAAGCTGGGACCCCGCTTCACCCTCTGCACCTGCAGGGGAAGCACCGAGCTGCGCGTCGTAGATCTGACTGAAGACCGTGGGTGGGGAAGAGATCCTCCTCAACGGGTTGCGATTTTTTCCCTTGCCTCTGTCTGTCTTCTCCATCCTGGAGCACGGGACAAACTCCCATCCCTGAGAAGGGACGTATCCCCCGCCAGCACCGCCCCCACTGTGCAGCCCCGCGCCGTTCACAAAAGCGCTCCACATTTCTCAAGTGCATTAAAAGAACACATTAAAACAATAACCTCACTGGATCGATTGTTAGAGTACGATCACAAAGCAAATCTTTAAGTAGATCCATCGATTCTCCGTATGGATTAAGTAGGAAACATTTTTCAAATAGTTCGGCATGCTTTCTCGTAAACTCCAGCTGCTTTTCAAGTGGTGACCAGTGGCAGAAAAAGTTATCCAAACCCGATCAAATCCCACGTCGGCCAAACAGCAGCGCTCGGGTGAGCAGTCACAGCAGCGCTCACGCAGGACGCTCGAGTCCCTTCCATATCTTCACTGGGGTGAAGTTAAGCCCTCATTCTGCAGCAAATCCCTACGGTATTTTCTCTCGCTCTCTCTTTTAAATAACGTGCAGGTTTTCTGCTGTGTCCTAAACCTGCGCTGTTTTTAATTTCACATGTTTAAAAAAATAAAAATAAAAAAATACATCCCGGGACGCTCAGCTCCGTGCCGCGTCTCTGCCCCACACACAGAGACGTTGTAGGCGACAATCCAGAGCAAGCAATGACAAGACACCCAGTAACCACTCTGAGGCGAATGGGAGAAGCTCCCAAAAATACATCGTGGAGTGCACTGATGTAAGAGCTGCGGAGTATTTTTACCCCCTGTAACCATGAGTTTATACCCTTAAAGCCAAATAGCTGAACGGCGCCTGCAGGGGTATTAAGGAGTAAAAGAGATGCTCTAATCTACACCGGGCTCCTCTAATTACGTCGCAAGAGTTGCCACCTTGTGTTGTACCCATGGCAACAAATCACCTCACTGTTAGCTAAAAACAGCTAATCTTCACTCTTTAGAAACGGCGCACATTTTTTCTTTCTTTCCTTCTTTTTTTTGAAACTTTTTTTTTGTTAGCGTAATACTAACACACGATATCTTAAACTCCTGCAAAAGAAACTTACCTCCCCAGTAAACAAAGCCTGCCCATCTCTTCTCTCTTAGCCATTTCTCATCCGCTGTCTTAGCATGAGAGGGGGTGACTATCACGAGGAAAGCGACGAAGGGTGTGTTTGTATTCATCCTCAGAGCTACCACTGTGACTCTAGCCTTGTCTGTAACTTCAGGCCTGTAAAACGTGGACTAACTCGTGCTGCTTTTATTATTAACGTTGTAATTAGCAGGCGAAATAACAGTAACGGCTTACATTTACATGCACTACATAGCGTTTGTGTTAGTATGCTATGTTCAAAAATACGAAGCACGTGCAGCTTAACCAAACACTGCGCTCATACCTGTTTTTCCTCTGATAATCCCGAGTGTTGCGGTGAATGTCCTCATCCCCCCACACATACACATTTCATTCCAGCCAGCAAAATTGGCTGAAGTAACAAGAATGCGGCGGTTCAGTTAAAAAAGATCGGAGAGCGAGAGGCTACCGCTGAATTTATGCTTTCATTAACTGGAATAAAATCCCCCTTTTCTCTCTCTCCCTTTCCCTCAACGTCTCTCCTCCTCTCTTCCTCCACAGCTGGCCCTAATATGTGACGTAAAACATCCCACCGGTGGGATGAAAGCAGTAGACCGGTTCCGCCCCCGTCCTGGTGGTCAGGTCCGCTGGATAAACAGATCCACCAACGGTATGCTTTTGCAGAGTCACCCAGTGGCATTTTGTAAGATTCTCAGTGCAACACTAATGCAGGTAAAATGACAGTGCTCCTGTTATGCTTCCCGTGACTGTGTGGATGATCTGTTGTACATTAGGCTGACATTTGGTGGTGACTCAGCACAGCTGCCTAAGAAGAAGAACTTGCAGGAGATGTAGTCCTACAGTATGAGTGTCAGTATTATTGTGGGAGGGTGCTTGAGTGTGTGTAGGCATATGTGCATTTTCACAGACCTGACAGTGTATTCATAAAAGATGTGTGTTTATTCCTGTAGTCACATAAATAAGGCACGTGCACAGCTCGGGGTAAACATTTCCCCTCACAGGTATTTTCAGACAGCTTTTCTTTCTGATTCGAAGAATCAGATATGCTCATCTTAAACCTAGATTGACCTGTGAAGGGAATTCTATCACAGGTTTTCACAGTAGGAAGAATTGAATGACATACTCACCTAAAACTCCACTGTTGCTTCTAGGTGTGTGGTCTCCAGGGAATGTTGAAAGCAGCTGAACAGATGAGTGGGTCATACTTGGAAAATGAATGTGACCTTGTGTGACCTTACGTAATGTGTTCAACATAACAAAAAGTGAAATAAATGAATATGTTAAAAAAAAAAGAAGCAATAAAAAATAAACATAATGTGATGCAGAAAGTGTGCTCTACAGTACAAAGAACAGGGTGAAAAGAAATACCAGTTTAAAAATGGTGGCATAAGACAGTGAGGAAAACAGAACAAGAATGAGGATCAGCAAAATGATGGGCTGAAACATCTGGAGCGATGGCAGTTGAAGGAAAAATGGGAGTGAAGAGAAGAATGATGAGCATTAGAAGAAGAAAAGTGTGGGGGGAAAATGTGACAGTCACTCTTGTTTTTATCAGCTTACAGAAAGTGGCTCCTCTGCCTGTTTGTCGTCCTGCTTGGGGACATCCAGGCGGTCTATGAAGCTCTGCAGCTCTTTCCTGAAGGCTTTCATCTGTGCGTTGATACGATACAGCAGCTCGTGCTCTCTGATCCTGAGGAAGAACAAGTTTGGACTTTCAAAATCAGGTAAATTTGGAGGAGACTACGACAGTGTAGTGATCACTCAAAACTGTGATAGTTTTTTTCATGTAACAATTACCTGCCACCTTCCTCATCCTCATCCAACCTAGCAAACAGCTCCCCATTGGTGACATATACCCGGGCCTCAGAAATGATAGTGCTGGTGTCAGAGATGAGCCTGTCAATGGTCCGACCCAGCCTCTCCGCCTCGATGCGGATGTCTATCATCTGCTGCCGGTCCTTCAGGCTTCTGGATAAAAAACGACTATCTACAGGTGAGTAAAGAGAGCGCGTCGGGGTGAGGCAGCGGATGTTTCTCACCTCGTCTGAGTCACTCTCTCCTCCAATTGGGCCTTCGCGTTTGCGATGTGGCGGGAGGAGGCGAGGGGAGGAAGCCGAGGCTGAAGGTGTATCATCGTCCCGCCCTCCGTCACTCTCTGCATCGCTGTCGCGAGGGCTGCCACGGATGCCCAGGTGAGAGGCCAGGTCGTAGCGCTGCATGTTGGAGAGCAACACGCGGTTCTCGTACTGGAGCTGCATAACTTTGCCACTCAGTTCGTTGATCTGCAGACGCGCTGCTTTCAGCTCCTCCTGGAGAGCCTCCACTTTAGCAGGGTCAGCTCCTCCTGGGGTTGAAATAATGCAACAATGGAAAATGGAGCATTAGTTCAAATTAGGGTTGAATGTGCAGCTCCTGGAGGGTTTTTTTCACATTTTTTTTCACCTAGTTCAGATTTAATAAGCTTAAAAAGAAGAGATGCCTCTTTACTTGCAGTGCAGTTGCTTAACTCCTGCTACAACATCAATGACAGGCATTTAGAATATTAAAAACATACAAACCTCCTCCGTGTCTTGATCCAGGTTCGTGGGACCCAGCCTTGTATTTAAGTTTATTGAGCTCACTTGTCACCTGAAGAGGAAACTCAGTGTTATCCTGATGTGTGTTTAGCATCAATCAGAGTCATTTACCCAAAAGAAAAACAAGGAAACACTTGCCATCTTATGTTGCTAAAATTAAAAATGTCAAGCACTACAGCTAGTCTGTTGCAATTTTCATGAAAATTGGTGCTAGAAAGCTGTCAGCATTTTTATTTTTTTAATATTTACATTTTTCGCAGTTACTGCAATAAAATGTTT